GAAAAAACTGGGGGGAAAATCATTCACCGAGTTGGTGGTGTTGTTTATCTTTTCCGGGGACGAAACTACAACTATCGTACTCGTCCACAGTACCCAGTGATGCTTTGGAAACCAGCTACTCCAGTCTATCCGAAACTTATCCAAGAAGCTCCAGAAGGATTGACAAAAGCTGAAGCGGATCAGTTTCGGAAGAAAGGGAAATCACTTCTGCCCATATTTAAATTAGGTAATTGATTCAATCATGGTTTGCATTGTTGGCAATCATGGTTTGCCTTTTCCAGAAGTTAGTAACCTTTTTTTCATTAATGTTGCAGCAAAAAATGGTGTGTATGCTTCCCTAGTGAAAGATGTTAGAGATGCTTTTGAAGGAAGCCCTTTGGTGAAGATTGACTGCAAAGGGATGCATGCAAGTGACTACAAGAAGATAGGTGCTAAACTGAAGGTCTGTAACATTCTTTAACCATTTCACGGGCTTTATAATTTTCTTTATTTTAATGCCTAAATTGGTTTGAAATTCTTGAAGACTTGTTCAAGATTCATTTACGGAAACCAAGAGGATATAAAAACTTGCAGCACTGGTTTAACATTTCTTTTATGAAAAAAATGTGAGATAACAAGGCTCTTGAATTCGTTCTTTGGAGGTTTGAGCTCAAATGACTATATTTAATGATAATGGAGGGACTAGTGAATTAAACTCTTTGTATTTTGAATTAGATAATTTTTATGCTAAACCATATGCATGCTACAAAGAACTTTTTCTTAATTGTAGCTTCAAGTGTGATGCGTATTATGCTTCTTGGATTGATTTAGAAATTATTCTTCATCTTCCTGATTATTGACAGGCGCTTAATCCATACTCAAAAATCAACATGACCCTGTATAAAAGCATATCAAATGCAAGAAACTATCATAGTCCGATGCAATATTATCAACCTCAAAAGCCACTTCAAAAATGTAAAGACCAAACACTCCCATATTTGGTGCTTAGCTGAACATGAGGTGCACAGACAAGATAGAGTTCAGAATACTATCGGTTAATTTTGGTCATTCTAATAAAGAAATTATGGGTTTCCTTATAATTGTGGCCTGACCTTTCTTATTTATCAGGAATTGGTTCCTTGCGTTTTGTTATCTTTTGATGATGAACAAATTTTGATGTGGAGGGGACGAGAATGGAAATCAATGTATGGGGACACTTCTTCAACTTTTCTTCCTGCTAATGCTGACATTTCAAGTGGTATAGTTAATTCAGGTATGCATTATAAAGAGTATTAGGGTAACTTTTGCATTGCATTGCATTGCATTGCTTTGTTTTTTTTTTTTTGGAAAAGCATAACAGAGATGGATGCCCTGAGGATTGTCCCAAATGATTTTTGTGACTGTTAGAAGTTCCCAATGGATTCTATTGGTTATTTTGTGGAAAAATTAAGATATTGGGATGAAATACAATGATGTGGTGGGATATGCCATAGGCTTACAAGCATGGCCTATCACAAACAGTGTCAGGGACCGAATGTTCAATTTGTAAAGAATATTTGTTGCAACTCATTTCTAGTTGTTTTATTATTTATTTATTTCAATCAAATTCAAGGAAGTTTCTTCTGGCCATTACAAATCAGGGCAGCATGACTCTAAAAGCATTCAAGTAATGTAGACAGTTTAACTGACCAGATGACAGTTCGTTTGGATTCTGGGTAAAGGCTGTAATGTATGAGTACGCAATCCCAGAATTTGGTATTCTACACTGGTCTGTATTATATGCACGAGTTTTCAGTCAAGAAGAATTTGGAAAAGCTGCTCCTTCTACGTTTAGTGTTGGGCATTGCAGGTTTTCCAGGTTCTTGGGCTGTAATACTCGATCTTCTTAAATTTTGAGATTGATGTGGGCACAGTTATCTTTTACTGCATGGAGAAGGTGCTGGCCGCCGTTTCTAGTTTCCCTGGATAACTTGATGATTGTTCTGTTCTGTTGTGTTGATGTTTGCTGCTTTAAAAATCTTTTTTAACAATGCAGATTACATTGACAATTGCTTATGTGTTGCAGCCAAGTCTAACGATGATAGTGGTACAGCGGATGCCAAAACGGTTGTATCTAGTCCAAAAATGATGTCCCTCTGGAGGCGTGCAATTGAGTCAAGCAAGGCATTGTTGTTGGAAGAGATTGCTCTGGGCCCAGATGCTCTTCTGGAAAAGGTAGAGGAATTTGAAGGCTTTTCTCTGGCCACGGAGCATTCCTGTGAAGCATTAGTCTTGTCCGGTGAAGATGGTTCTTCCAGAAGTTTCTCGGCAGAGTTTGAAGGTGGTTCTTACAGGGAGGATTTTGGCGATGAAAATGATCTTTACAGCGATGATGACATTGTTGATGATGAATATTATGATGACGAAGAGGTTGAAGAGGTCGATTCACCTATCCCGCAAGGGTCATTACCTGTTGACAAGATTGCGGAAAGGCTCCGAAGGGAATCGAAAATGAAGTCGAAAAGGGCAGATCATTAGCCAAGATCAGTAGGTCAGTCTGCTGAACTACAATTTATGTGGTTATCTTAACCTACTGAGATCGTTTTCACCATTACGAGAGCTGATTGTTGTACATGTCTCTAAGCGGCTGGCTTCTGCTCCTATTGCATAGCTGCAGATTAAATGTATATCCCATGTGAGTACCTCAATTTCTCATAAATCTAAAATCTACTGTTTGAAGCATTATATATTAAATACTTCAATTATTTTTATTCCCTTCATCGTGAGATTACTACACGCAATCAAGGAAATTCATCCGTTTTTGTTTATCCCTTTCATTTTGAATCTCTTTAGTTTCGAATTTTTTTATTTTTATCCATAGTTTTAAATCTTTGATTTTAGATTTTTAACTTAAAAAATTATTTTTTATGAAAATATACCATTATTTTTAAAAAATTGTACGAGTACTTTTATAATAAAATGTGTGAGATTTTTATTTTGATCTTTGTAATTTATTTTCCTTTTCAATTTGGTCATGTGGTACAAACAAAAATCGTAATCAAACTAAAATTGTCGGTAGCTGCCGCCGACCTAATAATATCACGATTAAAAAAAGGAACAAGGTTAAAGATTTAAAATTATTAATAAATTCCAACAATTTTTTTAAATTAAACACATAGTTTTACACTTTTTGATTTTTTTATTTTGATCTCTATAATTTTAATTTTTTATACTTATAGTTCAAAACAAACATCAATATAACGTGTATATTCTCTTTAGATTCATCATTTTATTTTATTATATAACCTATTTTTCATTAAAAAATCATTTTAATTCTTGTACTTGTAACCTTCTTTTAATTTGATCCTAAAAATATAAAAGAAATAGAGCAAAATTATCAACAAGAAATAATAATTTCGTTGGATTCAAGTTCAAGTATGGACGTCTTTGACATTAATGTAACATCCACAGGGGCTTAGTGTGAAGGATTGTACCCCTCTCATTGATAGAATTACTGCTGGCCTTCATAGCTGGTCTCGTAAGCATGCAGGGAATTCAGTAAGTGAATTTTAGTGTCCAAAACTACTGGTGTGGACAGTTCTTAATAGGATTAACCAACTATGTTTAAGATTTTCTTTGGAAGGATTAGCTGGTATTCTATGTCTTCTGATCTGATGAGAAACTTGTAAAATGGAAGAATGTGTAAAATAGTCCCTGACTATATAGCGTTGTTTTTTTTGAGTCCCTCAATTATTAAAAGCTATAAAATGATCTCCGACTATAGGGTATTGTTTTGTTGAGTCATCCGACTATTGAAGATTACAAAATGCTCACTAAATTATTCATATGTTCCAAATTCATTCTTTACCATTAAAATTTAACGTCCGAGTTGGATGTTAAATTGTTAATTGAGATATGATAAAATCATATTTTAATGATGTCTACCAACACCACAGTTGCTTTCCAGCACTGACTCGACAAAATAATGTTTCAAACACTAGCTCAACGACATAATGTAAAAGGAGTCATTCCACAAAATACATCTCAAATAGTTATGTGATAAGTTTTTATTATATCATAGTCAACATGTTAGCGCTAAGCTCAGACGGTCGCTAATTTTTTAACGGAAAATAACGAGTTTAAGACATATGAATAGTCATGTGACATTTTATAATTCTTAACAGTCGAAGGACTCAACAAAGCATTGCCCTATAATCGGAGATCATTTTATAACTTTTAATAGTTGGAGACTTAGCTAAACAATATCCTATAGTTGATGGACCATTTATGTACTTTACTCAAAATAGTACAACACATTTATAAAACAAAAAATTATAAAATAGTTCTTTAGTAATAAATTACTATCATAGTCCCTATAATATTTTTTTATTAAACTAAAGTGATTACAAAGTAGTATTGTTTTAAATGCCCTCAACCATTTGACAATAAACGTTTACTCACCATGCTACAATCGCTGGTGCTCGAACCCGTGACCTCTAGGAATAATGATTTCTTTATCCACTGAGTTAAGTTGGTTCGTGCAATCCCTATAATATTTTTTGTATAAAGTACAAAAGAGGAATTGAAATATAACTATAAGATCAACCTATACTAAATTAAATTTTACATTGTTTTTACAGTTATATAAAAAAATTATTTTAGCGAATAACGGATAATTACAAATTTGTTTTTGCATAACGATGTTGAAACTTGTCTGAATGATAACAAAGATTGTTATATAGTTTATTTATTTATTATTAAATCTTTTTTTATATATGTATATATAATTCAATCTTAAGTGGAGACGACGATTCTCGAGAACATCCTTGTATCATGGTTGACAATTCATTTGTCTGGTTTTTTGGATAAAATCTTTGTTTCTCGAGAATAAAACTTTCTTCTAAAATTCAACAACAAATAACAAAAATTCAATTCAAAAAAACAATATATATAACCATTGTCATCATCTTTATCGTTGTTGTTGTCATTACCATTGTCGTTGCGATTGTCATTGCAGTTTTCTGGAATTTGAAGAAATTCTGAAGCTCACCGGCACCACTGCTACTGTTCCGTCGGCACACCGATCACGTACCCTGCCGTGGCCTTCCCTCTGCCCCAGCCGGCTTCATAAAATAATTCCCTCCGGTCAAAGGTAAATTGAAAGCGTTCTGTAATTTTTCTTCTTTTTTCTGGTATTTCTTCATAGTTCATTGTAACATTCTATAACAGTCTTCTGGATTTTGATAATATATGTCTGACAGGGACGTTATATTTGTTTTCATCTATATTCTTTGATTAAATTATTATATAATAAAGAATGTATATTCTTACCTTATTAGCTCAAGCATCTTTACTGTTGAAATTTTGGTCGTATACGGTGATTTCGGCTGCTCATTTGATAAATCGGTTGCCTACTAAGGTATTGGGTGATGTGTCTCCATTTGAAAAAGCTCTTCGCTCGATCTCCTCTATATGATTTCTTATGAGTGTTTGGATGTCAATGTTTTTCATGTTTACGTCTGTTCAACACCCGAAAGTTTGAATTTCGGTCTAAACCTTATAGTTTCTTGGTTATAGTGGGACAGCACAAGGGTTAGTTTTGTATGACATCAGACGGTAAAGTCTATATTTCTCGGCATGTTGTTTTTGATGAGAGGGTTTTTTTCTTTTGAGTCTTGCTCTGAGGCCTCTGTTGACAAGTTAACACGCTCCTATGAAGACCTTTTTGTTGTTCTTGGGGCTGATCCAATTGGACATGGTTGTGTTGCGGTTCCTGATGTTCGTGAAACCGTTGGTTCTGATGATAGTGTGGCGTTGTCTCCTGATTCAGGGTCTGAGCCTCTCGGTGACCCTCGGACTGAGACTGCTGGTCCATCTGATGCTGCACATGTGGGTTAAATGTCGTTACTTGCTGGTGCTTTGGATGTGTACCGATTCTAGTCAAACTATTTCTGGCAGTACTCCTATGCTATGCTCATCCCAAGATCGTGTTCTTGATAGTTTTCTTGGTCCAAATCTATGTGAAGATGGGTTGGCAGTTGGTACTTCGGGTCTTGTGCACAACCGTCTTGGTGGTGATTTGATGGGTGAGTCCTTACCTGTTTAAAGGACAATTGGTGATGATGGTCTACATTTTACTATAGAGGAGGTGTGAGTGGTAGTCATATTGTTGATATGCGTGGGCCATCCTCTCTTACAAATCAACATCCCATGACTACTAGAAGTAAACTTGGGATTTTTAAACCCAAGTTGTTTCACGTGGAGAGCTTAAATGCAGGTGAAGTAGAACCTTCTACGGTTCGACAAGCTTTGGCTTCTCCTCGTTGGAGGCAAGCCATTCATGATGAATACGAAACTCTTGTTCGAAATGGTACGTGAAAATTGGTCTCCTTACCTGATAATCGTGTTCCCATCTGTTGTAAGTGGTTGTTTTGTATTAAAAAGAATACGGATTGTTCGGTTGCTCGGTATAAGGCTCGATTTGTTGCGAAGGGTTTTTCTCATGTTTCAGGTCATGATTTTTGAGAAACGTTTAGCCCGGTTGTGAAGTCTTCCACTGTTAATGGGATTTTATCTTTAGCAGTTCAGAATGGTTGGAAGCTTCGTCAAGTTGATGTCAATAATGTTTTTCTCAATGGTGATCTTTTTGAGGAGGTGTATATGGTTCAACTGCCTGGCTTTGAACAAGAGTCCTCCGATGGTGGTAAACTTGTGTGCAAATTGGAAAAGGTGTTGTATGGATTGAAACAGGCGTCTCGTAATTGGCATTCTAAGCTTCCGGATTTTCTTTTGTCTCTTGGTTTCACATGAACTCAGGCCAATGCATCTTTGTTTATTCGGAGGGATGATGGACATTGTCTATATATTCTAGTATATGTTGATGATATTGTTGTGACTGGTGATTCGGTTGAGATGATTGAAGAAGTTGTATCTTCTCTTGGTCGTGAGTTTTCATTGAAAGATCTTGGGGGAGTTGGGTTACTTTCTTGGTCTTGAGGTTACTCGAGCAGATGGTGTTTTGTTTTTGAGTCAGAGGAAATATATTCGGGAGTTGCTTGAACTTGTTGATATGGCTGGTGCACGTTCGGTTCCCACTCCCATGGTATCTACGTCTAAGTTGGTTCAAGATGTTGGTCGGCCTCTTGATGACTCTCAATTTTATCAAAGTGAGGTGGGTGCGCTTCTTTATTTGAGTCATACTTGGCCAGATATTTCATTTAGTGTTGGACGGGTTGCTCAATACATGCATCGTCCTTGTGATCAGCACTGATTAGCAGTTAAATGGATTCTTTATTGTTTAAGTGGCACTATGGATTATGGTTTGATTTTTCATGCATCATCTTCTGATCTTCGGTTACGTACTTTTCGAATGCTGATTGGGGAAGTAACTAGGATGATCGACGTTCTGTTTCTGGTTATTGTATCTTTCTTGGTGGCAATCTCGTCTCTTGGTGTTCTCATAAACAAAAATCAGTGTCACGATCAACTGAGGCTGGATATCGTGGTGTCGCTGATACGGTTTCTGAGGTGACTTGGTCGAGTGGTTTATTTCGTGAAATGGGAGTGGTATGTGTCGATATTCCTATTGTTTGGAGCGATAATACGATTGCAGTTGCCATGAGTGCAAGTCCTGTGTTTCATGCTCATTCTAAGCATGTTGAGTTGGATGTCCATTTCGTGAGGGAGAAAGTGGCTTCTGGAGATTTATGTCTCTGTTATGTTCCTGCTTTGCATCAGGTTGCGGATGGCCTCACGAAGCCTCTTTCTAAACCTAGGTTCCTTCAGTTTCGTCAAAACCTTACTGTGTTTAGTTGTTTGAATGTTGAAATGGGATAAAGCAGGGTGAATGTTATCGTATACATGATGCATGCATATTTGTGCATGGGTTACTGCATGGTGTTAGGTTCACGTTTTATGCACGATGGTGTCGTGTACAGTTTGTCGAAGATTGTTGGGTATTTTGTTATTAAATGGGGCCCTTAACTAGCACCTGTTTGGTGGTGTGTGGGTTGCTTTTTCTTATATAGTCTGCCATTTCCTTATATTCAGTACCTCTCTTTGATAATAAAGAAAGTATATTAAAAGTTAACATGATACAACCAAGGTAGCAAGTAGGATTAAATTTCATGAGCTTTGTTGTACAGGATCCTCAACACATTTTTGGCAGCCCATCATGACTGCCGAAAGCACCGCCACCTCAAGCTACTGGTTGAATTGGCGGTTCTTTGTTTGTGCACTTTTCGTCTTGTTCTACTTGGTGGTGGCCACAATTTTAATTTCCAAATTCGAAGGCCGGAAAAGATCGAATCGTCGGGGTGCAGGAAACCAGACGGTGAGTCCCGGGGAGGTATATAAGGAGGAAGCTTGGAATACAAGTCTCAAAAGCATTCATCCCGCTTGGCTGCTCGGTTTTCGAATGTTGGCTTTCATCACGCTCTTAACGTTGCTAGTGCTCAATGTCGTCATCGACGGATTCAGCATCTTCTTCTTTTATACTCAGTGAGTGATATATCATTCTGCATTGGTTCTAGTTCTACCATTGTGGACGGGCCTGACGATTTATTCTCTGTATGTTCCTCAACAGGTGGACTTTTACTTTGGTCACGACATACTTTATGGTATGTCTCTGATATGTTCATTCCGAAGTACGATAGTTCATCGGTTCTTGATTGCTGATCTTCTCTATTTTTATTGCAGCTTGGATGTGTAATCTCCATTTACGGATGTCAAAAACACTGGGCACAAGCTCGTTGCGATAGCGCCGATCGTGTGAGTTCAGATACCGAGCAGGACACCCATGAATCCAATGAGTCTGAACTTTCGGATGACCGCGAAATAGACGGTCGATGGATTTATGCCTTTCAAATTATGTATCAAGTATGTTTTCTTTCTCTAATCAGTTTCTAAAAAGTTGTGCAAAATAGCTAAGCATCATCTTAACTGCCTTTGATAGGCTTCTGCCGGTGCATCAATGCTCACTGATTTGGTATTTTGGATCATTCTGTTTCCATTTCTGAAGTCGATACCATACGGTGTCGATTTGGTAAGTATGAGGCCGCTAACTCTAATTTTCCGGAGTCTTCGGAACTGGTGTTGCTGTGCATATGACTGAAACCATTTCTTACTGCAGATGCTTATTATCTCTATGCACTCTGTCAATGCTGCTTTCCTACTCTGTGACTCAATTTTGAATTGCATGGTGAGTTTTACTTTTGTTTAATACTCATACCAGCATCTCATTTCGAGAATCTTTCGATCGATTGCGAAGCTGATCTTACCGTTTTCCGTTGCAGCGGTTCCCATTTTTCCGAATTGCGTATTTTTTCTTATGGACCAGCATCTTCGTTATATTCCAATGGCTCGTCCATGCTTATTATAACCTTTGGTATAGTTCCATACCTGTTTTTCTATTTTATCTGTGTTGTAAAAGGATTCTCACATTGTGGCATCTGTCTCTTTGCAGGTGGCCATATCCATTCCTTGACTTGACACCGTTTTATGCTCCGATCTGGTACACATTTTAATCTTCATGCACACACGTATGTTTCCAATGTACACTCCTAACCTTGTTTCCGTCTCCGTTGCTATATATGTTGGTCCGAACAGGTACCTTTTAGTCGGAACGATGCACTTACCGGCCTATGGCGCATTTGCTTTTGTAGTTAAATTCAAAGAATCATCTTTCTCAAGGTTGTTCCCTGAGTCATACCGGAGACTCACTTAAAAGAGAGGAGATCATCGGTGTCAAAATTCCGGGCTAACGCCGACGGCAACTGTGCTCAATTAGCTAGCAGGAAGAGTACAAAAACTTAGTGTTCATGAAATTGGAAGCTGTAGAATCCCCGGTAGGCAGTTTTATCAAATACCAGGATTTAATTTGTACAGTAACTTAAAAACAGTATGTTCTTGAGGTTCTTCGGTGTTATCTACGGGAGAAATCTGTGTGTGAGGCGTGAATGTTCTTCCCTCAGCTATGCCAACGTGAAAAGAAATCCCCAAGGCAAGCAGAGTATCAGTAAATTAAATCAAGTAAATAGATTTTATTCATGCATCTGCAGTAGATCTACGTGCCATATCTCCATTTCTTTGATCTCGGTCGAAGAAATTATTGGATGATGGACAAAATCAATTCAAATTTCAAACCACCAGATCACCTAGAGGTTAGGTACACATAATCTCAAAAATTGTGTTTTAGGAGAAATTATTGTATGAACCTTTTCAGCCTTATTATATGATTAATTAAAAAATTATATAATCAATTTTTTTCATGTTATTAATATATTAATATTATATTCTCCAAATCACCATCTTCTCTGATAATACAAACGAAAACATCAGTCTCTCTCTCTTTTAAACAAAGCAAAGTCACAGATCTTTATCTAAAACCTTTTAATATTTTTGAATTACATTACAAACCCTAAAAATAGCAAATATTGGAATAATCTTCTCAAACCCCAAATCATCTAATCTCACCAATTACATCGCCAACACCCATAAATTCGAAGAATAAAACCACTAGAAAGGGGCGCTTTGATTTCATCTCAGCGCCATTAAAGCCACCTCAAAGGTGATATAGACTTGGTTGAGAAGTCGAACCACTATAAATTCTTGTGCAATTTGTTTCATCTTTATACTTCTTAATCCTTAAACCCAAAAAGTCAATTCACTCACTCTTGACAAATTATTCAGTTGATAAATTTGAGCTCCATCGAATTCTAACAATTTCTAATCTTAATTAATAAACCTTACTAATATGTGTATAAATAGATTCATTAGATATAAATATAAAAAAGTTAAAGAATACACTTTTAACTTTAATCCCTCATTGTCAAGAAATATAACTTAAACACTTTAATATGTGTATATAAACTAATCTCGTTATAATTTTCAACTCATAGAATTGATATGTATTAAATTATTAGTCCCTATAATTTTTTAAATTTTTTAAATTATATATTTTTAAATGTTTTTAAAATCTGATGTGATAAGAAAACTTAAAAAAAATGTACTCCTAACGTATCTTCTCATATTATGTCATGTCAATATTATCATTAAAAGAAGTATTTAATAAGACGCACCTTTAATCCACCTAAGCAAAAGCGCTTATAATATTTGGGTGTTTTTATTTTTTATTTTTAAAAGGCCCAAGATTTATAAACCTTTTGTAATTTAAATAGTTTTTCATTTTCACTGTTCTGAAAGGAAAAGGGATGAAAAAAGAAAACTGAAAAAACAGTGTTTTCTATTACGGTGTCTGTTGCATCTGTTTATGTGTCCACCTTGGCCTTACGTTTTGGCCTCTGCTTGTTTGGTTCTTTCTTCCTTTGATTGATTTCAATTTCTTTTTGGGTTTAAAGGTAAATTGAAATGGTGAAAGCAATAGAAAAAAGGTTGCTGAAGGATAAAGGTGGTGGAATCAGTTGTGAAAAGCAAGGGAGAGCTAGAAACCAAGAGCAAAACTACATGGAATTTGTGGGGATCATCCAAAATATTTAGTAGTTCAATGCCAGTATTCCCAGATCTCTAGGATCTCAGAAATTCAGGGAAAAAATATGGCTGCTTGTTTCTTGTGAAAATTCTCTCTAAGTTCTTTGTCTTTGCTCATTCGGTGCTCATTCTATTACTTAACCTTTGATTCATATTCTCTCTTCTAGCTAACAGTCTTCTTAGCATTCTGAGTATTAATCAAGAACCAGTTTTGAGAAACTTTTATTTTAAGTGCAAAGGTTAAAAAAGGGAAGTTACTTTAAAGGGTAATGGTGGGTTCAGCTTATGTGGTTCTGATTATGAAAAGGACATGACAGTGTGTGCTTGGATAAGGCGAAGACAGAGACTTCAACTTCATGTGAATGATGGATGGTCATGGTTTTGTTGATCAGATGATAATTGGTTTTCCAGAGAAAGTAGAATATGAATGAGGTGAGAGATTGTAATTTTTTAGCAGATGGAGATGAAGAGTTTGATGCTGTTTAGTCTGGGCTCACTGTTTTTGGCATTGATGGGGAGTTCCCCTTTTTGTAGTTTCCAAGTTCATAGTCTTGGAAAAAAAAGGCTTGTTTCTGTTGTTTCCCACGGGATTGTCTCAGGAAATGCAGGTTAATATACGGCGTTACCGGATACATTAAAAGATATTTAACAAATTTGGTTTAGCGCTACCAAAAATGTTGACTAATAATAATGTAGTAGGTCTAAGTCATGAAGAAATATTAAAAAATTATGCAACCGACAAACTTAACTTGTCGATTCGTGTCGATCCAAATTAAAAATGTGTCGATCCAAAACGATATAACAGGTAAAACTATGACAAAACCGGTATGGAAATGATAAAACCGGTAAAGCGCTACCGAATACATTTAAAGTGTATGTACTTTAATATAAGGATCGACACTTCGTGAATTTAAAAGAGAAGCAGTTTTAAATCCTATAAAGTGTCGATACTTTTAAAAAATGTATCGATCCAAAACGATATACCAGGTAAAAATATGATAAAACCGGTAACAAAATGATAAAACCGGTAAAACGTTACCGGATATATTGAAAGTGTCGATACTTTATATAAGGATCGACACTTTGTGAATTTAAAAGAGAAGCAGTTTTAGCGCTTATAATGTGTCGATACTTTAAAAAAAAATATCGATCCACAACGATATAACAGGTAAAAATATGATAAATCCGGTATCAAAATGATAAAACCGGTAAAATGATACCGGATATATTGAAAGTGTCGATACTTTCGTAAGTACGTGTAATAAATTATCGACACTTTCAAAGAAATAGGTAATTATCCTTTCGAAAGTATCGACACCTGACATAAAAGTATCGACACTTTTGTATTTGTATCGATTAAATATAAATAACATATCCGATGAAAATATAAAGGCCATATCTAAATATCCTCTGAAAATCGATAGAACGGACGAGTTTTTGAAATCGAAGCGTAATTGTTGCTGCATTTCAGAAGGCGTTTCTAAAGCGAAGTTTGTTTGTTGTTGATGCAGTCGAATCGAAAAGTATGTTGTCGAAACCCTAGTTTTTTATTATTGTAGTAATCGCGAATAGAGTTTTTATGTGTTGTTTGGGGTTTTGGAGTAAAGAAGCATTTGAGACTGATTGCAGGTAGAAAGTGATATTGAAGGTAAAATATAAATGTCGATACTTTTATTAAATATTATAGGTTGTATAAATATGCCGACACATTTTGTAGTGGCCATTCAAATTCTTTTGAAGAAAACCGTTTTACCACAAGAGTAGTTATCTATATTTGTATATTGAATAAAGTGTATGTAACAAAATAATTTGATTTGCGTAAACTGATATATGAAGGAAAAATGGAGTCAATGGGTTGGAAAATTGTTGGTGGCGCATATGACTTTAAAATTGAGGCCGAGACTCGAAAGCAACCAAAGGGTGGATATATGTACTTCTAGTAAGTATCAATGTCTTTTTGTTATTATTGTTGAAATGGTAATTGGATTAAAATATCGATAAACTTTAAATTGATTACAAATTTTAAATGTTGACAGTATGGTTGAAAGCAAAAGGATGAAGGAATATGGCACACAGAGCGGTTCGATATGTAAAATGAAATTGACATTGAGTAGTATTTAGTGTTAATGTATTGATTAAGAAATGTTTATGTTTAATATTAGGTGACAAAAGATGTGAGGTCCAAATGGAATTCAATGAGTGATGCTGAAAATGAACCATACATCACACAGTCAATGAATGATAGTAAAGAATACAAAGAACGGAGGAAAACACATGAAAATAAGGTATTCATTAAACTTGTAAATACGTTGATACAAAATATATAAGAACTATAACATTATATATTGTTAAAAAATGTAGGAAGTGTCGACAAGATGCAACATTAAAAGGGTAAATTCATTAATTAAACACCTTAAGGAGAAGGGTCAGTTGAATGTGCTGGGAGAAATAGGTTTTGAATCGTTGGTAGGAGTAAGGGATCGACCTATTCGGAGGGAATTGTGTCGATCCTTGATGGCGGAATTTGATGTCAGACAATGTATTACTAAGTATGGTGATTTTTCATTTCCTCTCGGGATCCCATGTGCTGCAGCCGTATTGGGGGTAGAAAATGAAGGCAAAAGTGTTGTAGAAGTCTGTAAGAGTAAGGACTGGAAATCACTTGCCTCCAAATATGGTTTGAAGCAGAAGGTGACATATGCTGAAATTTAAGAGGAAATAAAAAGTGGATCTTACGTTGGGGATGAGCTGAAGGCCAGAGTTCTATTATACCTTGTCGGTATCTTTCTTTGTCCAACGGGTCATACGTCAACGAACAAGGAACATATGAAGCTCATTTACGATGAAGGCTTGAAGGGTGAATTCAATTGGGCTGAATATATCCATTCGAGATTGTTTGAATCAATAATCACCTTTAAAAAGGGCAACCAGAGATACCTCAAAGGGTGCATAGCAATCTTAGAGGTAAATGAGTTGAAGAACTTTTTTGTGTTTTTA